CCCTCCCAGATTATCCACCTCTAGGCTGGGTTGAGAAGAGTGAATCCCCAAAGAACTGAGGAGGAAGGAGGAGGTTTTCTTTCTTCTTCTTCCTTCAGAGCCTCCAAGGCAGTGGAAAAGCCACCCCCCCCCCCACTTCCCATTTCACAAACTCCCCAAACCCTAGACCAGTTTAGAAACACTACATATATATACAGTTGCAAGAAAAAAAGTATGTGAACCCTTTGGGATTACGTGGAGTTTTGCATGAATTGGGCATAAAATGTGCTCTGAACGTCATCTAAGTCACAACAATAGAAGAACACAGTCTGCTGAACATAATACTACACAAAACATTAGATGTTGCCATGGTTTAATTGCACATAACATGTAAACATTCACAGTGCAGAGAGGAAAAAAGTTGGGGAAACCTTTGGACTTAACAACTGGTTGACCCTCCTTTGGCAGCAATAACCTCAACCAAATGTTTCCTGTAGTTGCAGATCAGACCTGCACAACGATCTGGAGTAATTTTGGACCACTCCTCTTCACAAAACTCTTTCAGTGTAGCAATATTCTTGGGATGTCTGGTGTGAATCGCTCTCTTAAGGTCATGCCACAGCATTTCAATCGGGTTGAGGTCAGGACTCTGACTGGGCCACTCCAGAAGGCGTATTCTGTGCTGTTGCAGCCATTGTATTGTTGTTTACTTGTATGCTTTGGGTCATTGTCCTGTTGCATCATCCATCCTCTGCGGAGCTTCATTTGGCGGACAGATGGTCGTACGTTTTCCTGCAAAATGTCTTGATAAACTCTGGAATTCAATTTCCCATCAATGACAACAATCCGTCCAGGCCCTGAGGCAGCAAAGCAGCCCCAAACCATGATGCTCCCTCCGCCATGTTTTACAGTGGGGATGAGGTTTTGATGTTGGTGTGCTGTGCCTTTTTTTCTCCACACATAGTGTTGTGTGTTCTTCCCAAACAACTCAATCTTGGTTTCATCTGTCCACAGTATATTTTGCCAGTAGTGCTGTGGAACATCCAGGTGCTCTTTTGCAAACTTCAAACGTGCTGCAAAATTCTTTTTGGACAGCAACGGCGTCCTCCGTGGTGTCCTCAGATGTACTCCATTCTTGTTTAATGTTTTCCTTATTGTAGATGTGTCAACAAAAATATTAGCATGTGCCAGAGATTTTGTAGGTCTTTAGCTGACACTCTGGGATTCTTCTATACCTCATGCAGCATTCTGCGCTGTGCTCTTGCAGTCATTTTTACAGGACGACCACGCCTAGGGAGAGTAGCAACAGTGCTAAACTTTCTCCATTGTAGACAGTCTGTCTTACCGTGACCGTGACACATGAACATCAAGGCTTTTGGAGATACTTTTGTAACCCTTTCCAGCTTCATACAAGTCAACAATTCTTGATCGTAGGTCTTCTGAGAGCTCTTTTCTGCGAGGCATGGTTCACATCAGACAGTGCTTCTTGAAACCAGTAAACCCAAAACAGGTGTGTGTTTTTTAAGGGCAGGACAGCTGTCAGCAACACATCCAATATCATCACACCGATTGGAGTCAAGGTTGGCTCACTCCTGGCTCCAATTAGCTCTGGGAGAAGTCATTAAGCTAGGGCCTCACATAGTTTTTCCTCCCTGCACTGTGAATGTTTACATGTTATGTGCAATTAAACCATGGCAACATCTAATGTTTGTGTAGTATTATGTTCAGCAGACTGTGTTCTTCTATTGTTGTGACTTAGATGACGTTCAGAGCACATTTTATGCCCAATTCATACAAAACTCCACGTAATCCCAAGGGGTTCACATACTTTTTCTTGCAACTGTGTGTATATATACAGTCATGGCCGAAATTGTTGGCACCCTTGATATTTTTCCTGAAAATCAAGTATTTCACACAAAAAAGGTATTGCATTAACACATGTTTTGCTATACACATGTTTATTCCCTTTGTATGTATTGGAACAAATATAAAACAGAGGCAGAAAAGCAAATATGACATAATGTCACACAAAACCCCAAAAATGGGCTGGACAAAAGTATTGGCACCCTTAACTTAATATTTGGTTGCACACCCTTTGGAAAACATAACTGAAATCAGTCGCTTCCTATAACCATCAATAAGCTTCTGACACCTCTCACCCGGAATTTTGGACCACTCTTCCTTTGCAAACAGCTCCAGGTCTCTCTTATTGGAAGGACACCTTTTCCCAACAGCAATTTTAAGATCTCTCCACAGGTGTTCAATGGGATTTAGATCTGGGCTCATTGCTGGCCACTTCAGAACTCTCCAGCGCTTCTTTGCCATCCATTTCTGAGTGCTTTTTGACGTATGTTTGGGGTCATTGTCCTGCTGGAAGACCCAGGATCTTGGACGCAAACCCAGCTTTCTGACACTGGGCCCTACAGTGCGACCCAAAATCCTTTGGTAATCCTCAGATTTCATGATGCCTTGCACACAGTCAAGGCACCCAGTGCCAGAGGCAGCAAAACAACCCCAAAACATCATTGAACCTCCACCATATTTTACCGTAGGTACTGTGTTTTGTTTCTTTGTAGGCCTCATTCCGTTTTCGGTAAACAGTAGAATGATGTGCTTTACCGAAAAGCTCTATCTTGGTCTCATCTGTCCACAAGACGTTTTCCCAGAAGGCTTTTGGCTTACTCAAGTACATTTTGGCAAACTGTAGTCTTGCTTTTTTATGTCTCTGTGTCAGCAGTGGGGTCCTCCTGGGTCTCCTGCCATAGCGTTTCATTTCATTTAAATGTCGACGGATAGTTCGCGCTGACACTGATGCTCCCTGAGCCTGCAGGACAGCTTGAATGTCTTTGGAACATGTTTGGGGCTGCTTATCCACCATCCGGACTATTCTGCGTTGCAATCTTTCATCAATTTTCCTCATCCGTCCACGACCAGGGAGATTAGCTACAGTGCCATGGGTTGCAAACTTCTTGATAATGTTGCGCACTGTGGACAAAGGCAAATCTAGTTCTCTGGAGATGGACTTGTAACCTTGAGATTGTTGATATTTTGCCACAATTTTGGTTCTCAGGTCCTCAGACAGTTCTCGTCTCCTCTTTCTGTTGTCCATGCTTAGTGTGGCACAGACAGACACACAATGCAAAGGTTAAGTGAACGTCTCTCCTTTTTATCTGCTTTCAGGTGTGATTTCTATATTGCCCACACCTGTTACTTGCCCCAGGTGAGTTTACAGGAGCATCACATGCTTGTAACATTCTTATTTATCCGCAGTTGTGAAAGGGTGCCAATACTTTTGTCCAGCCCATTTTTGGAGGTTTGTGTGACATTATGTCGAATTTGCTTTCTTTCCTCCCTTTTTTTGTTTTGTCCCAATACACACAAAGGGAATAAACATGTGTATAGCAAAACATGTGTTAATGCAATACGTTTCGTGAGAAATACATGATTTCCTGGAGAAATATCAAGGGTGCCAACAATTTCGGCCATGACTGTATATATATATATATATATATAATTTGTGTAGAGGTGGGGGACTTTATTACTCTAATAGTATGCAGTATAGTGTGAGGTACTGAGGAGGCCTCCTCTGAGAGTGCCGCCAACTCAGCAGTGGTAATTCACCGCTGTTTATTAAAGCGACTTACGCGTATGTTTCACTGATCTCCTGTTACTGCGACCTCGCTATGTATCGCAAGATTACAGTAACAAAAGCCGTTTTCCAGTGTTCAAAGCATTTGTAGATCGCTTCATGCCTCAAAAGGAGAAGCAATCTACACCGCTTCATAAACAGGCACTCGGAGGAGAGGGGTTTCCTCTGAGAATGCCGGTGAAGTCAGCAGCGGTCATTTATTGCTGCTTGATAAATGTACACCATTGTTGCTTGAGTCTTGGTGACTAAGCCTGTTGGTCTGTTAATGGTTAACAGCGGCTCTGTTTGATAGTAAAGGTTAAAGTTGATTTCATGGTTAGAATGTGTTTAAACCCAATAAAGGCCTTACGGTTTCCCATAACCTTTGTTGTTTCTTTATTTTATTTTTTATGTATGTTGTTATGGTTTGATGAGTGTTAAAGTGTTACTAAACCCAGGACCCTGCATTCATTATATCTGGTCTCCCACAGTACACACAACATGGAAATGCAAATATTTTAGTAAATAAAAACTGCTAAATATCTTTTCTCATCAGCAGTTAGAGCAGTCTTGTGACTTCTATCAGTGTCTAGCTGAGCACTGGTTAAAGCTTGTAGGAGGAGTTTTCTTTCTGCTCAAGGAGGATGCAAAACCCCTGACCTTCACACTGACGGCCCTCCAGCTGTTGCGGAACTACATGTCCCATCGTGCCTCTGCCTGTGGGAGACATGTTTGTAACTGTCAGCCTTGCAATGCCTCATGGGACTTGTAGAGGGGAGTGTTAGACATACTAGCAGATTTAAATACACTAACAAATTGAAGTCAAACTGAAATTGAAGCACCCCTGTCAGTGGCAAAAGGTTTATCTCAACCATTTAACTAGCCACATCTGCAGGACAGCTGGCTTTGTTTAAAAAAACAGACATATTGGCCGAATTATCAGATGAAAATAAAGGAAAAACAGCCTAAAAAAGAAAATTAATACAGCTATCACATATATGAATTGTTAACTATAATAAATGTTTCCTTTTAGTTTTATTACTGCTTTAATTGTAGCTACTCCAACACATAAGGAAGTGGGGGGGATACCACAGCAGTCAAGAGAAATGCCTTGTTGGAGTCTTCTGGGAAATCATTTTTCACTGCCCATGCCACCAGAACACCACTCTGTTCAAGAGAAGATCCCTGCTGAAAAAAGAACACTTCCGAAAATGTCAGTCATTTTGTTCCCCGCAGTGCTCAGTGGATCCTTCGACCAACCTCTAAGTCATTCCAAGATACAGAAGTGGAGGGGTCTGCAAGTGATTGCTGCAGGGGACCAACCAGACTGACACTTCTGGAAGTATTGGTTTTTCAACAGAGGACTTCTCCTAAACAGGGTGATGTTCTGGTGCAGGGGCAGACTGACCATTCGGAAACCCGGGCACTGCCCGAGGGCCCGGGGTCAGTAGGGGGCCCCATGAGATGCCCCTGGTACCTTTTTCATTTGCTTTTTTGAGTTTGGGCAAGGACACAGGGGCCCCATGATCCCCTTTTGCCAGGGGGCCCCATGAATTGTCAGTCCGCCCCTGTTCTGGTGGCATGAGCAGTGGGAAATGTAATAATTCATTCCCTTCAAAGTTTGCCAGTTTTTTATGTAAAGCTGAAAAGAATTGGATGCACAGCACCAGTCACATACGTAACCTTATAAAGTCCAGTATATTTCATGTTCTGACGGTTACTGTAAGAATCCTCCAGCAGTGTCACTGGATAATCCTCACAACAATGATCTTCTGGTGTTGCAGGGTTAAAGGCTATGTTCATTTTTAGTTTTTCTCCATGCACCCACCATCACCGCACTGCCCACACAGTGCATCATTTATTCACAGGAATCTGTGAAAGAGTGAACTACAAGTCCCATCTGTCACAACAGCAGACAGCTTGTAGTTCTCAGTGAACTAGGAGGGCACTGGCTAGCTCTCTAGTAGCTCCATGACACCTCCTGCAGCCCATATAGATGTACAGACAGAAAGCTGTAGGCAGTGTGCAGGTTCCTGACATTGCACCCATGATCTGCTGCTCATGGGTGTTGTGCTTTGCAGGCTCCTAATAAAAAATATTGAATGCACAATAAACTGCAAAAACATGTATTTAATTTTTTTTTTATGAACTTATCCTTTAAGTACTTCCTATCTAGGCCAATTCTAATATCCCTCCCCTACATAATTTTTTTACTAGAAAATTACCTAAAACCCCAAACATAATCTTTTTTTCAAGCAGATATTCTAGAAAAATAAATGGTGGATGTTGCATATTTTTATGTTATATAATATTTGTGCACCCTTTTTTCAAATGTAAATGTTTTGGAAAAAAAAAAGCTTTAATGAATTTTAATGCACAAAAACACAATATAATACCCCTTTTTATGGTAAAATATAAAAGATACTGTTACGCTGAGTAAATAGATACCAAACATGTCATGCTTTAAAATTGCGTATGCCTGTGGAACGGCACCAAACCTAACCTAAAACCTAAAAATCTCCTTAGGCGCCACTTTAAAAGCCTTTACAGGTTTTAGAGTCACAGAGGAGGTCTGGAGCTAAAATTATTATTACTCTGATGTTCACTGTGATACCTCACATGTGTGGTGCGATCACTGTTTACACACCGTTGCCCGACACACACGTTCGCATTTATGCACAAGCACGGGGGGGGGGAGGGGGGGGTGAGTGCGTGTACATTTTTTCAAATTTTATTTTAAAAAACATTTTTTACACTGTCTTTTCTTAAAATCAACTTTATTGCTATCACAAGGAATGAACATCATTCCTTGTGATAGCATGGGCCATGACAAGTCCTCTTTATGGCCTCCAGTGAGGCCGATCAGACCCAGATCGGTCTAATCAGCTGCTTCACAGACCAGCAATGGCCAGGTAAACAAAGAGCCAAAACCGGAAGTGATGAAATCCTCATCACTTCTGGTTTCTGATGTCACACAGTGGGAGAAACAAAATCAGTTACTCTCACTGTGCTCCAGATCTGGATTCTGCTGGTCACGTACTTACCAGGCTTCCCGAGCAAAGGAGGCAGCTGCAGCGATGACCGAAATATCACCCTTTCTCTATCCAGTACTGATACATTGCTGAACAGGAAGAGGTTAAGATCAGCAGCTGAAACTGTGAAGAACTCCCAGAGTGCAAGGTGATCTGTGAATGGGGGCAGGGCTGATAAGTGACAGGACCCCCTGTCCATTCACAGAATGTCTTGCATTCTGGAAGAAGAATACAGGTGTACCTCGGTTTACGAATGCCTCAGTTAACGTAATTTTCAGTTTACGAATGAAAATCCATTGAAAAAAATGCCTCGGTTTACGAAAAAATTTTTTTTTAAATTTCCCAATACGAAATGTATGTCAGTGCCAATTTTTAAATGCAATTGCTGGCTTTTTTTTCTTCACTATAGCTCACAGAATTAGCTGTCACTTCCCCTGGAGCTAAAGGATACTTGGTTTCTTTTGGGAAACAAACTAAAAGGAAACATTGTTTCTTTTAACTCAGGGAAAAAAAATAAAAGGAAACTTTCTTTTAGCTGGGTGGAAAGTGACAGCTGATTCTCTGAGCTATAGTGAAGAAAAAAAAGCTGGTAATTACATTTAAAAACTGGCACTGACCTATAGTGACAGCGACCTTTTGTTAACTTTTTTTCTGACCTCCGGAACGGATTAATTGCTTTTGAATGTATTCCTATGGGAAACTGCGTTTCGGTTTATGAATTTTTCACAATATGAAACGTCCTGGAGAACGCATTAAGTTCGTACACTGAGGTTCACCTGTACTAGGAATTTTGCCAAAATACAAGGAAGTTCAGCTTTTAGTGCAAGTGGGAGTGGGGGTTATAGCATTGTTATTTTAAATAACACAAAAAAATAAACTCACCAGAGCTAAAAAAAAAATTTTAAAATCATGTATTGCTCTGGGAACAGTAGTATTAATAAATGATAAGTCATTCATAGATGTATCTTCAAGGAATAGTATTCTGCAGAGCCCAGATCCACATAGACCAATTTCAGATGGAGCGAATTGCTTTCAAATCAATTATCATCAGGGAAATCCACTTCTCAAGAAAGCCACCTTTAAACGTATCCAAGGAGGGAAATGCCAGACACTCGGAAGAAACAGAAGAACTTCATGGTGCAGTATTATTAAAACAACATCTTTATTTAGTACTCATTGCACTTAGCTCAAAGGGTGTCCCAGCCGACACCAGCATCAACAGCAATCACAGCAAAACAGACCCAGCTACTCGGCACATGCGCAGTAGCTCATGGGAAATGTAATGACGTCACATCAATCAAGCTCCGCCCTACGCGTTTCGTCATCGACGTCCGTGGCTGTTGGGGGATCTATTGTCACTGGAGGGAATCTATTTTTTGTGGTGATCTATTGTCTATGGTGCTGGGGGATCAACTGTTGGTGGAAAGGAACTACTGTTGAGAGAGAGGTCTGTTGTTTCTGGCTACTGGAGAGTCCATTGATGCTGGCTGCTGGGAAATCTGTTGTTGCTACTGGGAGTCTATTGTTGCTGGGCTGATATTTTGTTGCAGGGGTCCATTGTTGCTGGGGGAATCTATTGTTGCTGGGTGGGATCTATTGCTGCTCGCTGCAGGGGATTTATTTTACTGCTTTTCTTGTTATCATTAACACAGTTACATCGTTACATAGTTAGTCTGGCTGAAAAAAGAAACAAAACAGAAATGTAATTGGCGCAAGAGAGGTCGTGGTGGGTATAAAGTTCACTTAAAAAGTCTTAATGATAAGAGGAGGGAGGGGGGAGGGGGGGGGAGAGAAGGGGAAAAATGGGGGCTTGTGGTACAAACAGTACTGGATTAAAATAGATGGTATATATATATATATATATATATATATATATATATGTGTATACATATATATACAAAGCTGCAATGTAGACACCGTTGTGAAGCTTGCACTCTCTAGAGTAAACCGGACTCTGTAGTAAAAGAATAAAGGAGAGAGAGAGGTGCGCCAGACTAAGTGCAGTAAGATTATAACAGTTTATTGCACACAAATTATTAAAAACTCACGAGACGTGATCAGGCATCAAATATAATATGAAGAGAAGGACATCATCTGTGCTGCACATCATGGGCAGATGGCTGCAGTGCCAGGGTGTTCAACGGCTGGCGCTCTAGGCGGGTCCCACAGGAGGAAGCGAGGACGGCAAGCGCAGTAACCGGGAGTCGCAGCGCAGAGAGGAACCGTGATCCAGGGCAGGCGCTGCTGATCTCTCACATCAGCGTGGATGATGGGGCCAGCTTGAGGCGCATCAAGGATAGCCGCCGAGCGGAAGTGACGTCAAGACGTTGCAGGGAATCGTCCAAGGGGGCGGTGACACGTTTCAAGGCAACCAGCCTTTTCTTCAGACCTGAAAAAAGACAAGTCCATCCAGTTCAACCATTAAAAAAAAGTTATAATTCTACACCCACAGTTGATCCAGAGGAAGGCAAAAAACCTAGCAAAGCATGATCCAATTTGCTCCTGCAGGGGAAAAAATTCCTTCCTGATCCCCCGAGAAGCAATCGGACATTCCCTGGATCAACTTTACCTATAAATGTTAGTTTTCAGTTATATTCTGTGTATCTAAGAAAGAATCCAGGCCTTTTTTGAAACAATCCACTGAGCTGGACAGAACCAACTCTTGAGGGAGTCTGTTCCACATTTACCAAATTTTACATTGAAGAAACCTTTCTGTGTTTGGAGATTAAATTTCTTTTCCTCCAGACATAAGGAGTGTCCTCTTGTCCTCTGTGATGACCTCAGGGTGAATAACTCTACACCGAGTTCACTATATGAACCACTGATGTATTTATACATGTTGATTATATCCCCCCTTAATCTCCTCTTCTCAAGAAAGAATAAATTCAGTTCCTCTAATCTTTCCTCATAGCTGAGCTCCTTCATGCCTCTTATCAGTTTAGTTCCTCTTCTCTGTACTTTCTCCAGTTCCCCAATGTTCTTTTTCTGAATTGGTGCCCAAAACTGATCTGCATATTCCAGATGAGGTCTTACTAATGATTTGTACAGGGGTAATATGATCTCTCTCTCTCTGGAGTCTATAGCTCTTTTAATACAAGAGAGGATTTTGTTCCCTTTAGAAACCGCAGCTTGGCATTGCATGCCGTTATTAAGCCTGTGATCTACCAGAACCCCCAGATCCTTCTCCACCATTGATTCCCCCAGTTGTACCCCCACCCCACCCCCCAGTATGTATGATGCATGCATATTCTTAGCCCCCAAGTGCATAACCTTACATTTTATCAACATTAAACCTCATTTTCCACATAGTTGCCCAATTAAACAGTGCATTGAGGTTGGCTTGTGAGTTGAAGACATCCTGTACGGACATTATTCCACTGCACAGCTTGGTGTCATCTGCAAATGTCACTGAAATGGGATTTATAATCCCAGACCCTATATCGTTTATAAATATAAATGAATTCCATACAAATTACTTAGCACAACAAAATGATATTTGGCTCTGTATTCTCCAAAAGGAGCGATACTGGGAGGGGGTAGA